CAAACGTAGCACTATTACAAGAGGGCGTTTGTCCTCAACTAGAATTTTTCCCAAATGAAAGAATTCAATTTCAAAGAAGTTTACTATTAACACCGAACGGTCAAGGACCGTTCAATGACGAATGTACATTATCATAGAGAAATTTATATTCAGAATTCATTTACATTTAACGCATTTCTCAGTGTATAGTTTCATATTTTCATATACTCATATCATAGTACATTTTCATATTTTTCATACATCACTCATAATCATTATCATATACCAAAAATCAAATATCACAAAGTCATGCTTCATACAACTCACAGAACGTCCATACAGCACAATACAACATAGGAAATTAAATTGAATAAGCTTCCCTTACCTGGATCTGTGAGTGAACGTCCTAAGAGTAAGATTTTGGTTCGTCCGACTACAGCTTTCTACCCTCAACGATCACTTAACTCTTCCAACTAAATCTAACCATGTAAAAATCAAGAATAATTTAGACTATACCCCTGCATGCAACCAGAACTTGGCTTTGCATGCAACCAAAAGAACGAACGACTGAGATAAACTTACCAGTTCAAACTTGAAACTTGTTCAGTTCAAGATGAAGCTTGGGTCGCCGGGAATGCTTCCACGGTGCCTGAACGGTGATCGGAGTAGAGATTGGTAAGTTACAGTAGAGAGAAGGTTGGGTTTTCTAGAGAGAAGAAGGAGGAAAATGAAAGATCAGATTTTGGAAGGAGGGTGCGTGCAGAGGAGAGTGGGCAGGGTTTTTCAGAAAATCATTTTTGTCTGCCCTACGTCCAAACGGACGTGCGCTCTCCTTTAGACACCTATCCTCCACTACTGATTTTCGAATCTTCCATTCTTGACACCTGGCATCAGTTTACAGAGTTTTGGGTGCGTTTTAAATGATTCTGACAGGGGTTTTGGGTGCATTTTTAATAAGATAAGACAGGTGGGTTTTCCGAGGTCTGACAATATTTAATATAATAATTAATTATTTCTTTTTATAAAATTTATTGCAATACATAAATTTTGAAGACACGTGCCGTTAGTAAAAATGAAGAACTGGTGTGGAGTTTCTTATTGAAATTAAATTTTAAAATGAAGTCTTATTTAATTATGGTCTCAGATGGAAAAAGAAGAAGAGAGTTTCTATAAGAAGTTGGTAAAGCCATGGTGGACGAATGGTGGCTTGCGGTGGCCTACGATGGTTCCCGTTGGCTTGTGAGCAAGCAAATAATGGCTCACAGAGTTCTAAATCCCGTAAATGTTCAAGTTTCTTTTAAAATGAATGTGAGAGAGTCCAAAATGAATGTGATTTTTAGGGTTTTTATTTTTTTTAGGGACAGAAAGAGAACAAATTTGAAATTTTATTTTTACTTATATTTTTTAATAATTAATTTTAAAAATTCGTATACAATATGTGTATGTAATTTTTTAAATTACATATAATATCCTTAGAAAAATTTCCATTTTAACGCACAAAAGTTACATATTTATATTCATATAATCTCTGAAGAATGTTAACAGAGGAAATATTTATAGAATATTTTTAGTTAAAAAAAATATTTATAGAATTTTTTTATTTAAAAAAATATTTATGAATGTTTCTAATTAAAAATAAATAAATATATGATCTTCTAGATTATTTTTTAATTCATATTTTTCTTATTTTTCTTTATTAAAATATTAGATTGTTACACATAAAAATAAAGAGAATATAATTGTTATGAATATATGAAAATCATTTTCTTTTTCTTCGAGTGATATTATTAAACATAAAGGATATGAGGTGGGAAGACTGATGTGGAAATGCATCTAGAAGGAGATTTGACCAACCATAAAAGGAAAAGGGTTAGGAGAAGTTAAGTAGAAGAATGTTTCTCAAACTCGTTTTGACGATATAACACAAGTTCACGAAAAATGTTCATTGTCGATTGGTTGAGTGTTGGAAGTTCAGTAAAAACGTTCCTCAAACATGCTTCTGCGATGCAACAAGAGCTCACTAAGAATATATTTCTTATTGATCGGTTTAGAGGTTGTTGGAAGTTCACTAAGAACGTTCCCCATGCAACCTCCATCGGACGGGCTTGACTTGATCACTTGCACACGAGAGAATAGTTGGAAATCCTGATTTTATTGATTTGCAAAAGGAGATCATGTTTGAGATTTCAACTAAAATAAAATTTAAGGTAGGAGGCGTTCCATGTATTAGGGAAGATTGTATCGTCCAAGTGTGTCAACGGTAAGCCCCATTCTTCAGATCTTCAACAATTTTGAATGGTCCTTCCCAATTTGTTGTCGGTTTTCCATGGGCGGGCTTCTTACGAGCTTCACTTGTTTTTATCCATACTAAGTCCCCTTCATGAAAGTTCCTCGACTTTACTTTAACGTTATACCTTCTTGCAATCACTCGTTTGTACGCCTTTATCCGCACAATATGCTTCTATTCTTTCTTGTAGGGTGTCCAACTCTACTATCAATTCAGGCTCGTTAACCTCCATGTCTTCTAGCTACCGCCTAAGAAAAGGTTCGCCCACTTTAACCGAGAGCATGACGTTAGTATCATACGTGAGGTTGAATGGTGTTTCACCCATGGTACCATGCGACGAAAAACGATAACCCCACAAGACCTCTGGTAGCTCATCTACCCAAACTCCCTTAGTGTCCCCTAGACGACGTTTGAGCTCGACTACAATGGCCTTGTTGACAGCTTCGGCTTGATCGTTCGTTTGGAGGTGCTCCACCAAACTCGTCACATGCTTGATGTCCAAGTTTTTGTAAAACTCGACTAATTTCTTATTGATGAATTGTCGTTCACTATCAGTAATGACCATGGGGAGGCCGAAGCGACAGATAAGTTTCCACGTGAACTTCTGCACTTATTGTGTCGTTATTGTTGCTAGAGGTTTTGCCTTCACCCACTTGGTAAAATAATTTATCACCACAAAGAGGAACTTCTTCTAAGTGTGACCTATTGAGAAAGGACCTACAATGTCCATTCCCCACTAGGCGAATGGTCAGGGCCTGTGGGCCTCCATGATAATAGTGGTAAAAGGTAATAAACTGGTTGTCTGCACCGTTTGCATTTTAAGAGCTCCCTTGCTTGCTCCTGTATTGGCTTCTTGGACCATCTTGGTTTATCCCTCTGTCGACTTGTTTGCATTTGACAGACCAGTCTCGTCCAGTACAAAGTGTTGAGTAGCTTGCTCTTGACGCACAACTGTGTTCTCCACCCTCAACGTTATTAATTATATGCCTCGTGTTTCGCTTGCATCTCTAGCATTTGCCGTTGCATCTCCCTTATTAGCTCCATAGGGTCTTGTTGGTCACCATGTTCCTAATGGTCACTATTGGGTTTTCTTCATCCTCAAGCCCCACGGTAGGTGTCAAAATGTTTCGATTTATAGGATCCAGGTTATAAATCTCCCAAGTTCCGTTAGTCTGACCACTTGTCCTAATCACCGTTTTGCCTTCACTTTGTTTGGTTGCACTGGGAGTTTACATGTAGAAGGCACTGTGATATTAGTCAGAAGAGATTCCACAATCTTAGCAATAAATGCTCATTAAATGGATCCAACTTACCTCGATACCTCAAACTTGTATTTATAGCTTTCGGAATAAGTTTCATATTAGCGTCGGTCTAATTACAACCCAACTGATAATGATTGTGCTTTGACTTAAATTAATCATCATTAATCCTAATTGTTTTTTAAGACTAACCACTCAATTCATATTGTTCAACCGACTGATTTACTATATATTCCTAATTGGTGGATTTGTCTAGTTCTAATCTTAGGAGACAATTATACAATATATAATCCATCTGAAAAAGAGTCCTAAAAAATTTCTTCTTGAAGTTTTCTTTTTGTACATTTTGTGATTAGTAATATAATTGGAAAAAATATAAGTTTGCTTGGTTATTTCTTTTTGTTTGTGTTAATCTTATTCGAGGTAATATTGTTTTCATTTTCTCAATTCAATTTTAGTTAATAGAATTTTTTAAGATAGTGTTTATAAGTATAGTTTAGTAATAGAGTTTCTTAGGGGAGTAATAAACTCTTAAACCCTGTTCAAAATTTAATTTATTGAATTCTTTACTTTTATTGTTTGGTCGTACTGGAGGTTTATCTATAGAAGGTACTCTGATGTAAATCGGTAAAGATTCGACAGTCTTAGCAATAAATGCATATTAATATTCAATTTACCTCGATATCTCAAACTTGTGTTTATAGTTTTAAGAATGAGTTTTGAATTATCATCTGTCTAATTACGACTCAAGTGGCAATGATTGTGCTTAAATTTAAGTTAATTATCATCAATCTTAATTATTTTTTATAATTGATCGCTCGATTCATGTTATTCAATCAACCGATTTACTGAATATTTCTTAAGAGTGAGATCGTGACATGATGGTCATACAATACATAATCCATCCAAAGTACATTTTATGCTATAAAACATATAAATAGAATATATCTACATATTCAAATCCTCACATCTGTCTCTTCCAGAAGAGCCAAGGTTAACACCATCATCATTCATTCGAAAGTAAACACAGATAATTATAACAGTAACTTTTCACACCATATAATATATACAAGGGTTATTAATCCCGATTTGATTCTAGACTTGGGGGAGGAGATACCTTGCAGAAGCAGTTAAGTTTATTAACTATTATTTTCGTTTATTCCAGCTAACTTCACCATAACTTTTCATTAATCTCATATGCTATACAGTTCATTACAATAAGCTTTGGAAAATCTTCCACGAAAGCATTTCAGGTTCTGACCAAAATATGTGATTGGAACATAACACCAACGATGTTATAACAAGTAAAAATACGTGAGTGGACCCTACTTTTAAACTTCCCCATGTCTCTTGCATGCACCAACGAGGCCATCATCGTTGAACACCATAACAAAGAGTGTTGCTATATATTATAGTTTCGTAGGGTATATGTAGTGCATGCCATAACCTCTGCTATTATACTGAGTCTGAGGGTTATGGAAGAAACTGGGAAGCAACGTGGAAAAGAAGTGAACGAAGGCACTTCAAACACTTATAAAGAACGTCCCATTTCTCCACTTGATCTAGGTATGTCACTCTACAAAAAAAAACTCATACATAATCTGTAAGTATTCACCAAGAACATATAGCTTTTTATGTGCCTCACAAATTCTAATCTTCTCTGTTCTGTTGTAGTGAGTCAAAGTTTTATGATTGTAGAAACATAATTTCTTTGAAATTGAACATCTTTTATGTATTACTGTTTAAGAAAGATATTTTCGTATGTTATAGAACATTCACGTGAAACCTTTATGTAAATTGGATTATGTAAGCTCAACTTAGCTACTTTTAAAGTGATATTTCTTTTGATGAATTTCACATCTGGATAATCCTCGATATTTTTGGTTTAATTATATTTTGAATCCTTACTCTGTTTTGATATGATGCATTTATAGTTATGTTGACCCTTTAATGTTAAGAGATTTTCATATTTGTTTGAGAATAAAAAATTTCACCAAAAACAATTGAGAACCAACCATGAAAATCATGTTAGAGTGTGGTAGATATATAATAATGAATGTTTTAAGAATGAATATGTTCAAATTATCACATGTTTATATAGGTTTAAAACGTCTAATAATGCTTAATTGTTTAAATATTATATTCTATAGGGATATTTTTTGTTTTTTATATTTAGTCGTTTCGAATTAATAATATAGCTCTTTATTTTATTTATTTATGATTAATAAAGACTGAAATATTTAAAGAAATAATGATTTTCATATTATTATGGTTATTAATTTATTAAAAACAATGAATTTTCTTAATATAAATGAGGAGGCTAGTAGTTAGTTTCTATAAGAAAATAATAAAGATTGTAAAAAATATGCTTAAAGAAAATTAAAATAATATCTCATTTTGATATTTTTCTGAAACTCTTTGAATCCCTCGTTAATAAGAACTTCTACAATACAACGGTGAATTGGTCTTTTAATATTTAAAGGCAAATCCAGTATTTTTATTTAATATAACATAAAATGCATCGTAATGTTAATTAATTCAAGAGTGAAAATTTTCTATTTACTCAGACAATCTCACTCAATTTTTTTCCTTTAATTTTTTTTCCCTCACGAAACTTTGATTTTTTTTGTCTATGTTTCTACTTTCTAGGTTTGTTCGACATATGGAATCGATTTCGTAGTTTCTTAGTGATTTTGTCCAAAAGGGTCAAAAAGAAAGGTGAGTTATTTTTAGGTTTTAAGATCGAATTTGGTTAAATCAAGGGAAAGAGAGAAGAAGGAAACCAAACGCCAATTAAACCTTTTACTACTTTATAAATAAATAAAATAGCAAATGTATTTTATTTTCTGAAATTTAAATGTGGTTTTAACATATAGCTTGAATTAAAAAAATGTTTTGAAAATATAAAATATATTTAACAGTTATCACATAAAGAAAATAGGATGATCAATAGAGAAATGTTTTGGGCGGATTTTTTTTTCTCCTAAAAAATTTTAAACAAGAAGTTTCTTTTCCATGAAATCTCTCTCTCTCTCTCTTATTTTCTATTATCTTCCAATCTAAATATTATGTAAAAACTCAACTCAGTTGATAATTGTTAGTTACACTGAATAGATAAATTAAATTATTATCGACCCAAGCAATTATTATTCTTTTAGGTATTTTAATTTATAATGTTTAGATATAACTATTTATAGTATGAAATACTAATACCAAAATACATTTAAAATATTTTCATTAGGATTTGGATAATAATTGGTTAAGGTTAACCTTCCTCCATATTTATTGCTATTACTTATTGATGAAAATTTTAATCATTATATGTATATCTAAAATAATAGTAAGTATATATATTCTTTTAATTGATGAATAAAATGACTTAATCTTTAATGTTAGTTGCTTTTCAAATAATCTAGTTTTAAAATTTTGTTATCTAGATGCAGAAATACACGAATAATACATAAATGATTTTCCACACGTTTCGATCAATTGTACTTTATTTACTCAACCTTCATGTAATTGTGTTTGCAGTTCCCCCTATTACTAGATCGGATACAAAGGATTCAATTGACAGAGGTTCTTTTCTAATTTTTTTTTGTATTTATCGAACAACAAAAAAACATTTCAGATGAGTAACCTATGTTTTTCCACAGATGCTGTGCTTGCAAGGGTTGAATCAGAGAAAAGAGTAGCTTTAATCAAAGCCTGGGAAGAAAGTGAAAAAACAAAAGCAGAAAACAGGTGAACAAAAAACATGACTTATGTTTTAATAAATTGGTTAAATGATATGTTGAAGAGAGTGTATTGCAGAAAGTAAAATTGACTGATGTGGAAAATGTGAAACAGAGCATATAAAAGGCACAATGCTGTTGTGTTGTGGGAGAATAGTAAGAAAGCATCAGCGGAGGCACATCTGAAGAGAATTGAGGTACTGGTTTTTTGTGTTATACGATGAATGAGGTTAATGTTGTATTGAAAACCTTTGCATTGGACAGGAAAAATTGGACAGAAACAAGGCGAAGTGTGTGGAGAAGATGCAAAATAAAGTTGCAGAAATTCACCGAACAGCAGAGGAGAAAAGGGCAATGATAGAAGCGTACAAGGGAGAAGAATTTCTGGAAATAGAGGAGAAAGCTGCAAAGTTTCGAACTCGTGGATATTCTCCCAGGAAATTTCTTCCATGCTTTGGCAGTTAAAGTTCAACATCTTCTCCTTTTCTTGTTAAAGGTTCAAAATTCGCTCTTTGTTTGTTCTTCCTTTGTAATAAGAGCAGCAATTCGCTTGTTACACAAACAAGGGATCATGTTATCTGGTAAGGACGAGAGATCGAGTCATTCAAAAATATATAAAAACAATTTGAGCCATTATTTTAAAATAAAATTCATTTCAAAATTTTGTAAAAATATTGATTCCAAAAGGGATTCATCCTGTTAATGCTATAAGGATTTGAGGTCAACACAATGATCTCGTATATGAGATGAAAATAAGATTAAAAATATAAATTTGAATATATTTAATAGTTTTGCCTGCGATGAAAATGAAAATAAGATTATAAATATAAATCTGAGTATATATATAAATTAATATTTGCATGCTATTTTAATTAAAAATTAGAATAAATTTTTTTTAAAATATTGACACGAATAAAACTGTTGTTTTGACAAAAATCTTACACGTTTAAAATTAAAAAAGAAAATTATGTAAAGGGAACTACCGAAACAAAATTTTCAAACGTACAATATATACAACAGTATATTAATAAAGTAAAAGAAAATGATATTTTGACCCGCTGAACCTCTTACTCATTTTTGACAAGGTGGCAGCCACGTGGAAATTAATTTTGGTTTTTGAAAAAACTGTCGGTCTGACACGTTGGCAGCATATATATATATAGAGTTTACTGTAATAGAGGTGTGATGTTCTCCAGAAATGGGTGGAGTTCTATAATTAGAAAACAAAATTTGTGTAGAAGCGTATTACAAAACGAAATGATGTTTGATATCCACACATTGGATGTTTGTTACGCTAATTTCGCAGGGGACATCAACAATAAAAGGTGTTGTGTTCCTTTGGTGTTCAAGCTGAGCCCTCACCACTTCCATCTTTCGTGCTAGCTAGCTTATTTCCACCATTTCTTTCCCAGGTAATAATCTGACTAGCTAGTGCGACGAATAAATAAAAGACAAAAATAAAATAATGGCTTTCAGCGGTACCCAACAGAAGTGCAAGGCTTGCGATAAAATTGTTCACTTCGTCGAAAGCTTATCTGCCGATGGGATCTCCTATCACAAAAACTGCTTTAGATGCAGCCATTGCAATGGCCTTCTCGCGGTACATTCACTTGTTTCTTTTTGCATTTTTTTATAATCACAAAACCACTTTTTCATAATAGATTATTCTACGAATTGAACAAATGTAGCATGTTGTCTGAAACCACAAGCTTTTGTTGTTTTAATACGTTGTGGTGTTTTTCGTTGCAGATAAGCAACTACTGCTCTGGCGATGGAATTTTATACTGCAAGGTGCATTATGAGCAGCTTTTCAAGGAAACTGGCTCCTACCCCAAGAAAGTCCAGTCCTGTAAAATCCTTATTTTTAACTCTGCTACCCAAATTTGTCATTAAAGGTTTTTTCTTTCTGTGATAATTCTGGGACTAATCATAATCTTGTTTCATTATTTTCAATCAGCTCCAAAGCCACCAACCGAGCTTGTATGTATTATTCTATGAAGCAATATCCTTTCTGTATATATTTTTTGAAGTCGGTCATTTTATTACGGCTGCAAACAATGTCGATTTACATGGTTTTCATCGTTGTTTTATCTACCACAGAATAGGACACCAAGCAAAATTTCTGCCTTCTTCTCTGGGACTCAAGAAAAATGCTCAAAATGCAAGAAAACTGTCTATCCGTTGGAAAAGGTTTGAAAGACAAATCAATGGTGCTTTGTGAGGATTATACATGCTTCTGAGTTCTGAGTTGTGACCCTTAATTTGTTTGGTACTTTTTGTGAAACAGTTGACAGTGGAAGGTGAGTTTTACCACAAATCATGCTTCAGGTGCGCCCACGGAGGGTGTTTCCTGACTCCTTCAACCTATGCCGCTCTTGATGGCTACCTATACTGCAAGCCACACTTCTCTCAGTTGTTCAAGGAGAAGGGCAGCTACAGTTATCTGTCCAAGCAAGCTTCATTGAAGAGAAGTGAAATGCTACAAGAGCAAGAGGCTGCGTCTGCGGAGAATAAGAAGACTGATGGTAATCGCTCAGAGTCGGAAGCAGAAACAGAGACAAAACCAGAGACAGAAACAGCAGAGGTAGAAGCAGAGACAGAGGCAGAGACAGAGAAAAACGAAGCCGATGAGGAACCAAACTCTGACAAAGAGTAGTAGATAAAGTGTCAGTTCAACTTGGGGGCTTCACTGCTAAGTGTTTCTTTTCATGATTTGATCTTTCTGGCTATAACACAACCCCAAAACCCGAATATTTTGGGCATTTTGTTGATGCAAGGGGTTGGCTTGTCTGATTTGGGAACATTCCCACATAAGGGCTATTACAAAAGTATAATCACAAATTTGCAAACAGTTAGTTTAGACTGTAAATCGTTAAGCCTTCTGTTTTTTGGGGCATGTAGATGCCTTTATATTCGTGCCGCAGTCATTTCCTTTAATTCTGTGTTAAGAAACAGACACCAGAATAGACCAATATATTTTTATCATCTCAGTTTATCATCAATTACCATACCAATCTCTTTTTCTATACTTCATATCACCCTTTACGCTTTTACCTATTTAACCAAACCAACTATCTTTCATCAAACATCCTATAAACAAACATTTCAACATTGATGTAAAAATAAGTTGCAATTTGAAGTTATCTAGTCTTAGACTATATAATATAATTTATATAATAACAAATATTTATTTCACAAGCTAGAATACAGGTTTATAATATTGAAGTAAAGTAACCTATTATATAAACACACATGATTTAAAGAACTTAATTTCATTCTCTTGTATATATTAAAATACATCATCCATAAAGTTTTATTTGCTCAATTAGACATTTTAAATAGTCTCTCTTCTCTCTTCTATTATTAAATAAATGACGGTGGGTAAAATGTTTCACTCTGCTTCTTTAAATGGTATATGTATTAAATTGGTTCATTTTATTTTATTTAAATCACTAATTCTTTTATTTTATTTTTAATTTAATTAAGTTTCAAATCTTGATAAACTTAATGTATTTAACTAAGTTTCAAATTTATTTCAAAATTCAAAATTTTCAATCAAATATTTCTTAAATTTTATTGAATGCATGTTGGCGTAATTATCATCATAACTTGTCATTTTTTTAGTAGTATTATTCACGTATTATGAAATTTTAAATTTTGTTATTAATATAAAATAATACTAATGTATGTAAAACAAGAAAAAAAACATTTTAATGCAAAAGATATTAATAAAATAATATAAATATCATATTTTTAATTTACAAGAATAATTAAATAAAATAATAAGATAAAAATTATAATCACATCATCTATTAAAAAAAATAATAATAAAAAAGTATAAAAATATCGGTTCCATCGACTCACTTTAAAATACCAAATTTAAGAATATTTAAAAGTTAATTGTGGGTAAATTCATTTATTTTTAAAAATATCGTAGTATTTTATTTATTGTGTGTGGGATAACTCTGTATTCATTACTCCTCCTTGGCCGTTTATCCAAACCCAGTTTCCAGTGTCTCCAACTGTGAGAAAACAAGAAGCGATTACTCATACCCTTTTCAATTCTGATGATAACAATAGTAACAGCAACCACTGTGAACTGAAAATCAGAGCAAAATCAAATGGGTTCTCTTCCTCTCACCGGTAGTAAACCCTTCTTCACCAATCTTCATTGGTCTTCGTCACGCACAAGAACACCAACAAGAACCATTTCTCTGAAGCAGAGAGTCAAGGTTTTCGCTTCACGGTCTCCAAATGAAGAAGAAAAACAATCCCCTAAACTTGACAGTTACGACCTCATGGAACTCAAGTTTGGTCGGTTAATGGGAGAAGACCCCAAGCTCACCCTTGCCAAGGTATCCTTCTTTTCAAATTTTATTTATTTTTGTATTATTATTGCGCGTAACAATGTTTATAGTTTAATCTTGTAATTGGTTCCGTGCACCATGTTATGCCTGTTGGTTTAGATAATGGGAAGAAAGGCGAATCCTGATGCTTCTTATCTTGATATTGAGAAAGCCTTTTATAAGAATGGTGGTAAAGTTGTGGAAGTAGAAGAAGTTCCATTTGAGGGCTCTAAGGGAGGGAAGTCATCAAGGAAACTGGATGACCTTGGTTTGGTGCGTCCTGTTCCTGTTAAGGGATTCCAGTTCAAATCGGATGATAACAAACCGGCATTGGAGATAAAGAAACCTGTCCGGACTGAAAATGTGGAGGGGAGTGATAGGAAGAGTAGTGTTCCCAATGTTATTCTGAGGAAGCCGACCGTGTTTAAAGATGATGACGACGCGGAAACGTTGACGTCAAGGTTGAGAATGAGGCCCAATCTGTCATTGAACATGCGGGATGAGCAAGTGAAGGAGAAGTTTAGCGACATGACGCTATTGAGGAAGCCTGAAGCACCGGTTGCCAAGAGTACTGATACGGTTGAAGAGCCTTCGTCTAACGTGGACCAAGGGAACGATGATGGTGAGTTAAATATGTTGAATGAAGAGCCGGGTTTTACATTGTTGGAGCGGCCTCACAAACCAAGCGTGGAAAAAGAAGAGGAGGAGTTTGGAGAATGGAATGCCATGGTACCAAATGATGTAGGTGTAACCTTTGTTGCTACTTGCAATATAAACTTTTTGTGATGTAAGCCTGGTTTTCTACTAATTTTTTGCTTGACTGATTAGGAATTGGAGCAGCATGAGCAGCTGGAGTTACATTGGGCGCCAAATGATTTAAATGAATCATTAGATGTAAAGTCAGTTGATTCTAGATTGGAGTTGCCTGTGGATGCTGCACTGCAGGCAAAGCCAAAAAGGTATATCAAAATAGTTTAACGGTTAAGTTTATGGTTGTGATTTCAGTTTTGGTTAATTACTTGAATGCATTTTATATAGATTAGATCAATATGTTGAACAAACCTCGAAATTTGTTGAAGAGGGCACTTTCCTTGATCTTGGAGGTCAAACAAGCAATGATAATTTAGGGAATTCTGTTGATATGTCAGATTTCCAGGTCAGATTTTATGGATTATACGAGTTATTTACTTATTTCCTGACTTTGTGTTAACCTTTGTGCTCTTCAATTTTGTAGGAAAGTGAGGATGCTGATTGGACTAAGGCAGAAGGTTTGATTAAGACCGGAGACAGAGGAGATGTGGAACTAGTAAGCTGCAACACCAAAGGTTTCATTGTAAGTACTTAGGAAGCAGTATGACGGACTTTAATTTCTAAATAAAAAAACAGTTTCTTAGTCTTAGATTGGTTTTTTAATAACTCAGTTAAACCATTTTACAGGTTTCTTTTGGTTCCTTGGTAGGATTTCTGCCATACCGTAATCTTAGTTCGAAATGGAAGTTCTTAGCTTTTGAGACTTGGTTAAAACAGAAGGGCTTGGATCCATCAATATACAAGCAAAACTCAGCCACTATTACAAGTTTTGATACTGATATTAAGATTTTTTCTCCGGATTCTCCTCCATCTCTGGAGATTGATGGTAAAGTTGAAGATAAAATTTCACCAGATATGAAATTGGAAGATCTGCTAAGGATTTATGACCAGGAGAAAAATAGGTTCTTATCATCGTTTATTGGACAGGTTTGGTGTTTAAACATACATGCACTGCCCAAATATGTTCCTCAAATTTTATGTTAAGAGACGGAAGTTGAATATTGCCTTATCTTATTTTTAAGATATCAATAGTTTGTGTTTTGCAGAAACTTAAGGCAAATGTGTTAGTGGCAGACAGAAAAATAAGAAAGCTCATATTCTCTCTAAGGCGGAAAGAGAGTGAAGAATTAGTTGAGAAGAAGAGAAATCTCATGGTAAATGCTTTAGTAAGAATAGCATTCTTAAATTAGCATGGAGCATGCTTGCTTATTCAATGAAATGAAGTGTTATTCTGATTTATTCTATGTTTCTTATGACAGGCTAGACTTCAAGTTGGGGATATAGTGAAATGCCGCATCCAGAAAATAGCTTACTTTGGAATTTTTGTTGAGGTATATACAACATTTAAAGTCGTTATGTTAGTATTTTGGAGTTCAGTTTCACTAGCATATTTAGCTTTACATCACTTATTCCAGTGGAATTGCCTTGTTTGGCCTGTTTATTGAGCCAAGCAGTAAGCACCTGGATACTCTTTTTAGCCCTTTCATAGAATCGGAGTTTATAATGGTGATGAAAAAATTCTAAAAATTGATGTGATTATTACTTATTACTGTAGGTTGAAGGAGTTTCTGCACTAATTCATCAGTCTGAATTATCCTGGGATGCCACTGTGAACCCTGCATCGTATTTTAGGATTGGTCAGGTATTTTCCTTCCTACTTGACAATTTGACAAATTAATAAAGTAGGGAATGGTTTTCAACAACTAAATAATAATTATGTGTGCCTCCACCAACATGTTTACTTTTTTTCTTCCGGACATTGCAGTCTATTTTCAATGCTTTCAATATAGATGCATGAATAAACTATTCAACGGTGCAAGTTGTTGGTGGATGTACAAAGATAATTTGATTGTATCTGTTTGCAGCGTTAATTAGCAGGTGGTATACAGGATTGGGTCTAGATATAATACAAACCCACCCCATCCCACCAATTGATCAAATATAATCCAACGCTATCGATAGATTAGATCTAATAATAAAAAAGGCAGAAATCCAACCTAATTCAAACCGAGATTTTTTGTTGAATTGAGGGATTGGTCTGTCCAAACTCAACCCGGCATGATCCTTGTTGGGTTTACACGTGACTGACAAGTAATGCCAAGGAGAAAGTGGGTGGTAGTGATGTTGAATATAATTTTAAAGATAAACTCATGGTTATAATCTTTATGTACACACACACTACTCAAAAGAGAACATTTTTTTACAATGACAAGTTGTAAATATAAGTATTTATACTTACAATGTAAACATGCAATGTTATTAGAAATAACATAGCTAGAAAAAAAAAAAACTAAATATAGATGGTGCTAACTTTTTCAACATTTTTCATCAACATCATCTCCCTTCTTTCTAACTTGTTTAATTAAGAGCAGAACTTTCCAAATTTGCTAGCAAACAAACTACATGAATGGTTTTATATCTAATAGATGAAGTTGATAAAAGTACCCTTGATATTTGAACTGTTTATAGTTTTACTTTGTATTTATTTTAACCTTACTTTTTGTTCCAGGTTCTGGAGGCAAAAGTTCACCAATTAAACTTTTCTCTTGAGCGCATACTTTTATCATTAAAGGAGGTCACGGTAATTTTCTTTGTCTATTTTGTTATTTACACAAGGTCTCCCTTGCATTAGGGGAAAATTATGGAGATTATTTTGACAAAGTCCTCTTAGATCAAACAGTATTTATACACTTTATTATTTATCAAATCATTGTCTTCTTATGACAGCCTGATCCATTAATCAATTCCTTAGAGGCTATAATTGGGGATCATGACCCCTTAGATGGGAGATTGGAAGCAGCTCAAACAGATGTAGAGGTAATCTTCATATGAAATTGTAGAAGTCATTTTAATTACCAAAGTATGCCCGTTATATTGATTGAATAGTTGCTGTGCTCTAGGACTTTATTTGTCAGTAGTTTAGCAGCTAACAACAGGCTTCAAATAATTCTATTTACAGGTGTTGATATTATAATATCTTAAATCTCCTTGTTGGTTTTTGAAGTTTACTTTATGTCGATTGCTTGTGCTCTGGTCCTCATGTGACAAAACTCAAGTCAAAACTTCCTTCACAACAATGTGACAAAATAATTAATATAGAAGATAAGAATGAACTATATTGTTTTTCTTGTAGTAGCAATCATTCAGACATTCTTAGAGATTATATCTGCTGGCTAATAATATGTTATGTTTGTTTTATTGTCCAGATGGATTATTGGCTTGACATGACTAATCATCAAATTATACTCATTTTTTGACAGTGGCCTGAAGTGGAATCCCTTGTTGAAGAATTGCAAAAGATTGAGGGAGTCCAGTCTGTTTCAAAAGGCCGTTTTTTCAGAAGCCCCGGTTTGGCTCCAACTTTTCAGGTATGGATACATATATTCGATCTTTGAATAATGTTCTTTATTATTTTCTTTAAAATGAGTTTTAGCTCAGTATTTGATCTGTCAGAACTCCACAGAAGTTACAATTTGCATTATGGATTTTGCATGTTGTTTGTGGAAGGCCAATAAAGGTTCAAATTAGCAATCAACAGACAGAATTTCCTTTTGGCTATATTATTAGGTTCTTTGTTGATAATGTAATAATGCCGTCTGGTATTCAGCTAGAAGGTCGTTCTGGAAAAAAAGAAATCCCATTTAGTATCCTTTTTCATTTTCCTTAGTCATGCGATTGCTTGTTATTGTTTTTGAGCAGCTGGTAGACATTCTTGTAAACAAGACAAATGCTTAGTTCTCCCAAACCTATTGTTTATCATTTTACCAGCTATATTTTTATTAATAGTTTGTTCTCGACGCTGTTTAATAATTTTTAGCTAACTCAAGTTGTTTATCTGTATGGAAACCAATACCGTACCAGGTTTATATGGCATCCATATTTGAGGATCAATACAAGTTACTAGCTCGATCGGGAAATAAAGTACAAGAGGTAATGAATGATATCGGTTTTGTTTTAATATCTCGTTAAAAAGGTTTTTGCTGTATATGTTTCTTCTGGTCTCTCTTTTTCTTTCTTTTCTTTATATTGTTCTAGATGCAGATGAATTACTTAAGACACTCATCTAGACATATTCACAGTATAGTCTAACCCTGATCAACGAATAATTTTGGGCAGGTGATAGTTCAAACATCTTTGGATAAAGAAAGGATGAAATCAGCTGTTCTGACATGTGCAAACAGAGTGGAATAATTGTGGATTAATTTGTGACAGCAAGCCTTTTTTGGTTGCTTGCATTTCTATGATTGTACGTTCTTCTGGGGTGTGCAGGCTGCAATTTAAGGAGCATTTGAAGATACTACTCTATACAAAAGCATTGGTGGAAGGATAGTAATTTTATTTCTTGTAAAAAAGTAGTGATAAAGGCATATTCCTACCTTTTTGGTGGTGAGGTTTGGGGGTGAGAAGAAGTGGTTGGTCAACGATAAAGGAAATATAAATCCTTTTTCTCTTGGCTCAGTGGTATCATTTCATGATTGCTTTTTGCTACCGCGACCACTTGAGAAATTGTTGATAATTGATTTAATTAAAAATTAAAATAAAATTAATGTTTTTGTATTTTATTTTTTAACTGGTAAATATGTAATAGTATTGGAACTTAAATTATTATATTTATAAATTAAATTTTTGTTATTAATTATAATAAAACAATTTAACATATAAGTAAAATAATTATTATCATTTATATAATTAAATTAATTAATTAATTAATTAAAAGTTTGTAAAATATTTACAGGATTAAATATATTTTTAATATTATTTATATATAAATAAATTAAAAATTAAGAAAAATGTGGGGCTTGTTTGTCACTTCGTCAACCTATCCTTTTGACCTGTTTTTTACGGATTAACGACTGATGGAACAAAATCGAGTTGGATTAGTTTGTTTTATCACTATTATAATTATTAAACATTATATTTTCATAAATTTTATAAATATGATAACCACTGTGTTATCATTAGATCATAAAATGATTTTAATATGTTTATGAGAAAATTATTTTCTTGTTCAAGATAAAAATAAAATAAAATGAGGTATTAATGCTTTTCTACATTGAAACCTAAAAATAATTTTGAAAACTCAACATTTGAATACCATATTTTTAAATATGCATTCTCAAAAAATGTTTTTTTAGAACTTTATTTTAACCTAATGAGACCAATAACTTACCGGATATTACTCATAGTCTTTATAAATTTTATAATTTAAAACAATTTCTATTAATATTTTTAATGATACAACTTGCTTTTAATCTTCATAGTTTTGAAACTGTTATAAATAGTTCCTAATTTTGGATGGCGTTAACTTTTGTTTAACGTGGCTAAGGGCCAGCCCACGTCTGATGCCAGGTATGAGTTTATTCTCTGCTATGTTTTCTTTTCTTTTTATTCCAAATTTGTACACAAGCCCCTAATTTCTTCAATGTTTAGACCTTAGCCCCTAGCCTTTTTTCAAAATTGCATAATAGCCCCATTTGACCAGCTAGGTGCAGGGTTGACTCAGGTGAGTCTATCCAGTGAAACCATGCCACATGCCAGTTCACCCTTTACCCAAAATTAGGGTTTTGAATTGAGCATTAGGAAAGAAGGAAAGAAGCTACGCCTACACCGTCATGGCAAGAACACCCGCTCTCTGATGGAGCCCGACTTGCTTCACCGTGGAGCAGAACTGCTATGCAGGCGCTTAGATGGCGCGAGTTGTTGCGCAAATCTCTCTTAGGTCTGGAGGTTGATGACTTGCGAGAATGAGGATAGTGGCTTCGTGATGGGTTTTTTGTGTCTCTGGCTTCTTGGTTTGATTCCTGCAAGTTTTTGGAGGTTGACGCGCTGGCTTGCACGAGGTGGTCCGGTGAAGATGAAACCGCCATCTGGTGGCTATGGTTTTCTCTCTCGACGATGACGGCGCGATTTGAAGGAGATGACGGTGGCGCTTCTGCCCAGGGTTTGCAGGTGGTTGGCTTAGGGTTTTTGTGGCGGCATGTAGGCTAGGTGGTGGCGGCCTTAAGTTGGAAACAAAAGTTAACGCCATCCAACATTAGGGACTATTTATAACAGTTTCAAAACTATGAGGACTAAAAACAATCAAAGTTTCGAGTAGAGATTAAACCCAAAATCGTGTAACACTTAAGGGACTAACAACATATTTAATCCTAAAAACAATAAAAATGCGACATAATTAAATACATGTTACAGCATAATGGAGTAAAAAATGGATATACCTTTTAAAAATTAAAATTTGTAAGTAATAAATTCAAAAGAATACACGCAGAAGCTAAATTAATTTTGATTATATTTAAAATTATGTAAAGCGTAGTTTGATTCTTTTTAATTCCCGATTACGGTCTTTCTAATTTTAAGAAAAGTAATAATTTCAATCTAATCTTCCATTGATTATAGTTTACTTTGTTTTATGTTTAACTTAATTAAATGTTTTTATATAGTATAACTAATAAAACATGTTACGTTTAAGTTCGATTGGATAAAAGTTAACAAAACAAAACAAGTGAAGTTATGAATTTGACAGGGTTGTAAATTTTCTAAAGCAAACTAAAATAATGAAAAAAAATAGAAGGATCAAAATAGGGGATAGAAAAAATTAAAGAGAGCCAAATCTGTAATTTCCCTTTTGCAAGAAAGAAAATGTTTAAATTCATTAGAAATATGAAATTCGGAAAATAGCTCTGTGATGTTTGGTTTACTTTCCAAAACTAACATTCCCTCAAAAATGGTATTTAGTCAAGTTTTTTTTTTTTCAACGGAGTTCTATTCTAATTTTTTATAAATTAAAATGTAAATTTTATTGGAAATTATTAAATCACATGCGATGACGGTACTCTTAGGAATATTTTCCGGTAATGAAACAAATACTTTGTAATATTTAAGAATTTTCATTTTAAGATTTATAATTAGAAAAATCATGAAAAAATTTATATTAAAGAAAACTTATCTTTAAAGTATCTTTTGCGGAAAGATAAAAAGATGAATGGAAACAGAAAAAATAAATACAAACATGTGAAAAATAAAATGAAAGTAAGAGTGCTTATTAAAAAAAAAAAAGAAAAAGTAGATAAGTGAATAATAAGTAAGAGAAAAATGAAAATAAGATATAAAATCTATTTTTTTCCCTTTCAAGCAAATACATCAACATTTTCTTTCAACCAGTTTTTTTTTTAATTTTTCTCTTCTAACAATTAATAATGGTTAACAAATTATGAAAAAAATTCACAGCAATTAAGAATTCTAATATTTATTTCAACTTAAATAAACAAGTGAAATTCAAATTTCTGACTTGCCAAATACTGGAACATGTCTGTCTTATTCCACTGAAGTAATCCTCGAGATTTTAACAATATTTTAACCACAGTCCCACAAATTTATCCTGGTTAGAACAATGATTATGTTATTAGTTTAGTTACTGGTCAACAAAACTGAATTATGTCTTGAAAAGAACGAATTAGACAGTGCCTTATATGCACCTGGTTCCAGGGTTTTGAACAAACAGCATGCATGGGTGACCGTTGTACTGGGAATGTGTGCCACAAGTTTGAATTCTCTCCATAACTATAGACAGCTTTCATTTCTTTTCATTTTTAATTAGAAAATAAAAAAGACAGCTTTTTTTGGTGTGGTTTGGGACAGCGTTGTGTTGTGTTTGGTGTGAATAACATAGCATCGGGTATCGTGTCGTAAAGTGTTGGGTTTCTTAGCGTACACCGTGTGCCGCATCTTCATCGCACATAATGCACCTGCTTCTCCATTATGCTTCATCATTTGAATGAACCCTTTTTCTCCATACCATTCGCTTCCCTTTTGTTACCCTTAGTGAATGATTTCTCTTTGTTTCCACAACTTGTAGAAACAAAAACTGAATTCTTTTGAATAAAGTACAAATTCTAAGATAGACCAAGAATATTCAGACACTCCAAGTTTTCCCTCTTCGGAAGAAAATGGGAATGGGAACTAGCACCTTTGTTACTAGATGGATCAACTTTCTCACCATGGTAATGCTGTTTGATTTCTACTGCGATTGAGTTTTCCTGTTCATTTTTTTTTCAGTTCAATTTTTGGGTTTGTCTGTTCCTTTTTTTTCTCTTACTTTCACTTTGTTTACTGTCTTATATTCACGTGCTTTTTGCTGTTGTTCTTGCATACCCTTCGTTAGTTTTCTCTTGAACTTGTTCCAAAGATACGATTTTTAGCTGTCGACTTTGCCTGCTGTTCACAGTTACTGCTTTATTTCCCTAGCTGTTTATTTGTGTACTGAAGATGAAAAACACAACTGAGACCCAAATGCAACTTATTTCTGTTTTATAAAAGCTGCTTTTAGTTTTCAAAATGCAACTAAATAATATTGTTTAACCAAATGGTGTAGGATGCAAGGCTCAAAGCAGTGTGTAATCGGGGAAGATGAAAACAGAAAAAGACGAGAAAACATCTCCAGCTGTTTTTATTTTCTGGTTTGCTAAAGAACTTGTTTTGGAAACAATTTTCAAAACATAATAGATTTTATATGAGAATCTGATTGATTTGTGGTATGGAAATGTTGCTGAAAACAATTTTCAAACCTAAAAAGTGAAAAGGGAATCAAACAGGCTGCAAGTATTTTATTATCATTGCTTTTACGATTTGTGATTGTTTATGCTGATTTCTTGTTCACCTTGCGCAGCTTTTGGCCATTGTTGTGATAATTTTTGGAGTGTGGATGAGCACTCATCATGATGGCTGCAGAAAGTCTCTCACTTTGCCTGTGATAGGCCTCGGAGCAGTTATTTTCTTGATGTCAGCTTTGCATTCTATATGATTTTGATGCCTTGATTTCTCTTTTGAATATTTTCTGCTAATGCGTTGTCTTCTCTCATGTTTCTTTGTTGTGCAGATCTGTAGTTGGCTTTTTGGGTGCCCTGAAAGACATTTCCATACTCTTATGGGTTGTATCCTTATTTCTTATTAGATGCACTATTTTTAAGATGGTTACATCAGATAATAATAATAGAAATAAATTTTGGATTCTGGGTATCATCCTTGACAATGTACTTGCAGTATCTGATTTCGCTGTTCATTGTCTTGGTGGGAATCCTGGTCTTCACAGTATTGGTGTAAGTATGCAGTTTGGTTGACAATGCGATTTTGTTCTCATTATCATTTGTCGTTTTTTTTTTTTGTTAAATATAAGCTGTCTTTGTCATGTTTATGTTTAGAGGCTCATATACTGGCCGTAAAAAGTCTTTAACATATTTGTATTTCAGCTCTTCTTTGCTTTATTGGTATGTTCATTAGGTCAATTTGTTCTTTGAATTTAATACCTTGGCAGTTCATGGTACATATATGCGACATTATCCTTATTGTTTTAGCAGCAGTAGGTTACTTAGAATCTGTGTAACATATCAGTATCATTTGCAATTAATTTTGTAAAAGAAACTGTGAAAACGCTCAAGGCTCATGCCTCCACTAACAAAATCTAACACATCAAGAACTAAGATTTGTTGATAGAAAAGACATTTGCTCTAGTAACTAAGTTTGTAGACGAGTTGTTTGATGTTTCATTGATGGTTATCCTTCTTTGTTTGTTCCACTGGTGACATGAGTGGCATTTCAAAACTTGCATTTTTCTTAAGCAAGCTTCACTGTCTCTTCTTGTGTGGATAGACGTTTAGATCTTATGTAACGCTCTGCCATTATTGTGTCAGGTTCATCGTCACCAACAATGGATCAGGTCATAGCGTGACTGGCTTGAGGTAAGGAATCAAGTATTTCATTTATGTAGATATATTATGATCCTTGATATTTGAAATGGTGACAATTCCATGATATATGTGATGTGATGAAAGATCAATGACAACCTTCTTATCTGCTTAGGTATAAGGAGTATCAGCTTCAGGATTTTAGTTCTTGGTTTCTCAAAGAGGTAAACACTTTTGTCAACATGGAGAACTGTTGTGCACAGTAACACCTCAACATCCAAAAGCTTGAAGTTTCTATCTTTTGTTTTAGTTAAACAATTCTCATAATTGGGAGAGATTGAAGGTTTGTCTTGTCAAATCTGAAGACTGCAATAACCTATCCAAAAAATATAAGGTGTGACCTATACTATTCCATTGAATTTAAATCTTCTAGAACAAAAAGAAAAAAAAAAAAACTGTGATTAATACCTTTTCAATTTTCCTGTTATGCAGACTCTTAAACAATATAAATCAGCTAAATTGACGCCAATTGAAGCTGGTTGCTGCCGACCACCTTCTCAGTAGGTTCTATTCTCGGACTGTTTGTTTCATAGCTTACTCAAATACATTTCAATAGGGTATAGTTTATTTTTCAGATAAGAAAATGAGTGCATATTTCTGATATGGTTTTAAGTTGGGGTTTTGTCTAACTCAGGTGTGGATATCCTGCTGCAAATGCATCCTACTATGACTTGACTTTTCATCCAGTTAGCCCCAACAATGACTGCAAGCGATACAAAAATTCTCGAGCCATCAAATGCTATGACTGTGACTCTTGCAAGTAAGCATGACCATCCTCCATTTCTCCTTTTCTAGATCAGTAAAATATTGTCTCACTGCCATTTTTTGTTTGTCCTCAATCTTCAATCCAGGGCTGGTGTAGCACAATACATGAAAACCGAGTGGCGAGTTGTTGCTATATTTAATGTTGTTTTATTTGTTGTCTTGGTAAGGCAAACATTCTTACCCTTTTCTCTAATAACACGACAATCAGAGAAGGTGTTCGATTCGATCCACTTTTGTTATGTCATTTTTCAAACCTTGGATAAACTTTTCTATAAACATCACTTCTGGAAAAGTTAAATGAGAAAAAAAGAACTTATAACTTAATTGTTTTAGAAGTTAGTTTTAGTTTACGTTGGAAACTCGATTCATTTGACCTTGTTTTTCTTGTTTTAGGAATGTTAATAGAGAAAATTGTTCAGTTTTATACCTCAAATAAGGTAAACAATTTTGAAGTGTAATGGCGTTGTTTTGGTGCAATGCAGTCAATTGTATACTTTGTGGGATGCTGCGCGAGACGAAATGCAGCCAGAAGGCATTCTAAAGCTTGAATGGAACCCGCATGAAGCCATCATCATAATGCTTTTTCAATTTTGAAGGAGAAAATCAGTGAAACTTCCTAAATTCGTGTTATCTTTAGAGGACCCCTTGATGGGATTCGTGTTAGCTTGAATGTGAACACCATCACTTCAATTGTTAATATCTTTGATGTTATTATTTGATTTGATGTGAATAGAAAATCCAAAATTAGCAAACATTGTGGTGGTTACGATGTCTTGTTCGTTTGCTTATTAGATAATAAGAGAAGACAAATAACCTTTTATCAATTCAACGTATTTCACAGCAGCATAAGATTCGTGTTAAGGGAATTAAATTACGTTTAAATCCCATCTTACGATTAGTTGTATAAGATTAAATTACGTTTAAATCTCATCTTTCAAACGGTGATGGCTGATTCCTGCAACATTAGTTTTAGTTGTTAAAAAAATGAACATTAAATATGGTAAAAATATAACAAGTGTGACTTATTTGTGTTTGTTTAAAACTTTATTCTGTTAATAATTTCCTATATTTATTTATCATATTGTATTATATTATTTAGAATATTAGGATTTTTTTTATCTTGAAATTAATATAAATAATTCGATACCATGCTTGGTTTGATTTAGGATTTAATCATATTCTTTATAAACCCTTTATCAAAGAAATAAAACCCCAGTTTGGTTTCGCTGCTGAAACTAAAACCTTGTAGTGGTCGTGCTTGTTTCTTCCAGCGATGTGGGCTTGGATGCTTGGTGAAGGCCGTAGGGCGGTGTGCGAGGTGGCGTGCACCTACAACTGGGTGGCGCTCCGACACATGGGTGGCGGTCCGAGAACCTTTCCGGGCGGCGTGAACAAGTGGAAGTGGAAGCGCATGCACGAGAAACGCGCAGGAGACAAACAAAAGAGACTCATCGAGCAAGAGAAGCAGCTCTACGAGGCTCGCATTCGCTCCCACATCCGTTCCACCCTCTCCCCCGACCACCACTCTGCCGCCGCCGCCACCCATCGCCCTTTATCCCCTAACGACCACGTCAAAGCCCTCGCGGACCGCTTCGTCAAAGAAGGGGCCCAAGATCTCTGGAACACTAACGACGGTCCCCTGACTCCGAACCCGACACCGAACCTAACACCGAACCCAACACCGAACCCAATATCGAACCCAAACCTTAATTTTCGCCCCAAACATTCTAGGGCCTACCGTTCAGTTCCCGAGGTTAGGAACAACCGTGTCGGGGCCCACAAGTATAGGTTTTGGCGGAAAGGTAGTGACGATTCTTCTTCCGGTGAGAGCGAGAGTGAGAATGAGAATGAATTGAGTTTGAAGACGGGTAGTAGTGCTTCTTTGGGGGAGTATGATGTGAAGAGAGAGAAGAGAGTGGTGCCTAAGAAATCTGAAGAAGTTGAGTTTATTAGACATGAACTTATTAAGCGGAAGTTGAGACAGATTGAGGAGCAAGAGATTGAGAAACAACACAGCTATGAAAGTATTCTAAGCAACACAAGGTGGTCTTACTTTGCTAGTATGGATTTTTCTTTACGCTGATAATAGAAAGCCAATTTTCTTTGAGTATTTATGATTGATTAGAGCATACGCACCTATAGCTTGTGGGACGGATGGTAATGCAAATTGAACAGGGTATTGATAGATGCATGCAAGTTTTAAAGTTTTAATTTAATTGTGATTATTGACATTGCTGGATATTACGGATATAGCTACAATGGTGGTTTTAGACACCCCACAAACCCTGACATTGGGACAAAAACCAGGCCATTTTAAATCCTGGGATCGGTATTAAATGGTTGGTTGTTTTGTCGGACAGCAGTACTGCAATGGGTAATTTAGATGTTTTGTATTTTTTTTTTTGTAGATTTGATGAGTGCGGTATATCACCGCAAACTGTCAAGGCACTTTCTTCAGCTGGTTATGTTCATATGACACGGGTACAAGAGGCTAGCCTCTCGATTTGCCTTGAGGGTATGTTGCCTTTTTCTTCCAGATTTGATTTTCGCAGCTGGGTGGTCAATCCACTTTCTATTTTCCATTTATAGTTGTTGTTATGACTATCTCTTGTTCATCTTACAAGAGTTGTGTATGTTAATGTTCCAGTTCGAGTCTTTTGCTTGTTATTGTAAGATGACTATTTTATTTGATTTCGATGATGATTTTAGCTATGTTGAACTGCAGGCCTGGATGCTTTAGTCAAATCTAAAACTGGCACAGGAAAAAGTGTAGCTTTTTTGGTATACCCTACATTTTTAATATTGTTTTATCATACTATGTTTTGTCTTGAATTTTTTTTCTATCAATGATGTTGAGTGCAAACAGCTTCCTGCTATTGAAACAGTTCTGAAAGCTATGAGTAGCAGTACATCTCAACGGGTCCCCCCAATATATGTTCTTATTCTCTGCCCTACAAGAGAACTTGCTAGTCAAATTGCCGCTGTAGCGAAAGTTTTGCTGAAATATCAAGATGGCATTGGGGTGCAGACTCTTGTTGGAGGCATACGATTTAAAGTTGACCAAAAACGCCTCGAATCAGATCCATGCCAGGTTTTATGTTATATATAAAATTATTTATGTTTCCTATTATTTGGCCTCTGGCCTAGTGTAGGTGTTTTCTTGGTGGGCAAGGGTAGGGGGGAAAGGAAAAAACAGAAGAGAAGAGATGTTACTGATTGTGTAATAAAATCGTCTTTCAAAGTACAAAAACAATGCATTTTACATTCCTTGTATCAATTTTTGCAGATACTTGTTGCTACACCTGGTAGGTTGCTGGATCATATTGAGAATAAGTCTGGAATATCTCTGCGATTAATGGGCTTGCGGATGCTTGTACTTGATGAAGCTGATCATTTACTCGACCTGGGATTTAGAAAGGATGTAGAAAAAATTGTGGATTGTCTGCCCCGTCAAAGGCAATCTTTACTGTTTTCTGCAACCATACCAAAGGAGGTTAGGTTAGATTTTTTTATTTTTATAATTAATCTTTAATCTCAGGTTCTTTATTCTGTCAACAGTGATGCCGATGCTTAAAAATATTTAGGTACGTCGCATATCCCAGCTTGTTTTGAAAAGGGAACACAAGTATGTTGATACAGTTGGAATGGGTTGCGTAGAAACTCCTGTTAAGGCAAGTTACAACAACCATTGTCACACTCTAAAAATTGCACATGTAAATTAGATATTTAAATGACTTCAAGAGCCTGAGGTTATATACATTTTTTCTTGTTGGGGAAGAGGGGGTTGCCATTATAATTTTTGAATTTTTTTAAAACTGTTATTGATTTAATGATTGTATGGTTGTTCTGGTTTGCCATACCAGGTGAAGCAATCTTATCTCGTTGCTCCTCATGAGTCACATTTTCAATTAGTGCATCATATTCTGAAGGAGCATATCTTGCAAACACCTGATTATAAGGTTAGTAATACATATGCTGTTTCAGATTTTGAATTGTTTTGTTATATACTTTATGGTTTTGACTCATAGATTTGCCTACAGGTTATTGTATTCTGTATAACTGGAATGGTGACCTCACTCATGTATAACCTTCTTCGGGAAATGAAAATGAATGTGAGGGAGATGCATTCTCGAAAACCTCAGCTCTATCGTACTCGTATATCAGATGAGTTCAAGGAATCCAAACAATTGATTCTTGTCTCATCTGATGTTTCATCACGGGGAATGAATTATCCTGATGTCACCTTAGTCATACAGGTATACTTACATACTTTACTCGCGTTTTTCTGTACTTGGGATGTTTGAAATTTTCTTCCTTTTTTCTCATTTTTGATTTGTGAGGGTAAATTAACTACTGAAACAAAGTTCCTTATGAGACTGTCAATTGTTTCTTGCTGAAAATATCAAGCGAAAGGTGGATTTCTAGCCAATGATTCCATCAGGAACTACTTATTGGTTCATGTGTGAAATCTAGGTGGATGTAGTGCACACTTCACTTTTTTATTAATAGTGTGTCTAAATGGAATCCAGGTGGGAATTCCTTCTGACCGTGAACAATACATACACCGCCTTGGAAGAACAGGTCGAGAAGACAAAGAAGGGGAAGGCATATTGTTGATTGCTCCATGGGAAAAGTACTTTTTAGAAGAAATTAAGGATCTACCTTTACAGGAATTTCCCTTACCTGACATACATCCACAGGCAAAACTAAAGGTACATTTCTTGCTGTTGTTCTCATTCTCATGTATACAAAATTTTGGTTTTTATGCCATATATATGTGTATATATACACACACACACATATATATGTTTTGATCCACAAAATTCATACTGTGTCCTGACATAATTTTGATTACTCCATGTTTATTTTGAGCATGGCTTTGCACGGGCACTATCTAGAATATGTACACAACTTAACCGGAATTTTTGTCTATGATCGTTGCAGATTGAGAATTCGATGGCAAAGATTGATAATGACATCAAAGAAGCTGCTTATCATGCTTGGCTTGGTTATTACAACTCTATCAGGGAAATTGGGAGGGAAAAGAGCACTGTAGCTGAGCTGGCAAACCGATTTTCTGAATCAATTGGTTTACAGAGGCCTCCTGCTCTCTTCCGAAAAACTGCTATAAAAATGGGTTTGAAAGACATTCCTGGTATTAGAATTCGTAAATAGTTCAGCTGTCGGCATAGATTGGAAAGTTATAGAGAGATACTAGCGGCATGGGACAATGTCGTTGAATTTTGTTTCCTGATTATTCAATTTGTACTAATTATTTAGTAATGGCTCGAAAGCTCATTTATCAACACACATCTGGCCTATGTGCAACGAAATAAAACGGATTCATAGATCTGAAGGTGAAAAAAAGTATAATTTTATATTAATTAATTTAGAAGTAAGAAAAAAATTTCAATTATGTAATTTAAAATGTATTTTTGGATTGTATAATTTAAAATTTCATATATAATTACATAACATTAAAAAAGCATTGAAAAAAAAATGAATTGTGTACTCTAGAATATAATTTTTTTTTCATTATTGAATGTGTAATTTGAAGTCTTTTCAATAAAATTTATCGAATAATATATTTTTGACATTTTTCACATCTATAAAAGTACATGAAAAAACTATAAAGACAAAGAAAACCAAGGACCTCATAAAGTGACTAGTTTGCATCAGAATGGAATAGAGTTCTGCGCATAAAACTAAACATTGGTGAAAAAGAGTTTAATGGCCATGTACGTCAATGTAAAACATGATAAATCAGAAATCGTACTTTATAAAAGTAAACGAACTTATAATGTGATTGGATGATACTTCAAAATTTTCGTTATTAGTGCATG